TTATGTGTGATATTACTTTACGCAGATGCGTGTATACTGTGCGGTCACATATGTGGTATAAATATACCTAGAATCTTTCACACAAATGAAACTTGATGTAGTATGTCTCATACAAACTAACGAATACATATGGCTGTGTGTTGACAGTCGACAAAGGACGAATGCAATATCATTACCAACATTGTAGAATGTTATGAGTGGTATAAATCATTGTGCATGTACTTCTAACAATGACAATCTAACTTGTGTAAGTAGATGTAACTGCAATCGACAGTGGTTAGTGTATGTTGCAGAACTGTAGTAAGTATACCGAATCTGAGTATATTTAGTCGTGCTTATTGTAATTTACATGCCTCGTCAAACCCACCCAGAACTTTTCGGAGAATGTGAAGACGCCCCAACACTGCAGCCTTCTGCATTACCCAGATTGTGTGAAAGGCTGTATTCCTGGTAGCAAACCAGAGTATCCAATGTCAGTCAACAAATTAGGAGGTACCGAACCTAAGGTACCCAAGGCAATGGTACTTGGATGTATGTGTGACGTTTCGAATGCGAGGATTGGATATTTGCCATGTTTGTCCTGAATCTTGTCAATCACATTAGTGTCAAAAGGGAAAATTCAATAATATATATGATTTCATTGCATTTATCAAAACGGGCAAGATCAAGTATGTTGACCTAGATACGTCTGGAGCCTATCCCAAAGAGTTTTGAATTTATCATTTTGTGGCGGCGAATGTGCACTGCTTCTGTTAGTTTTCTTTTAGTGAAATCATGGAGGTTGTTGGTGAGGATTTGGACGTTGTCACCAGCTCCAACTCCCTCAACTCCCTGCTAAGAGCCAATGGCAGGAACACAACCAAACCCAAAGAGCCTAAAGGTGTGGTTTACAAAATTGACTGCACTACTTGCTTACTTGTATTGGAGATATTATGTGCGCTTTCCGACTGCAGCGTATTTCGCACACGGGCCCGGCCAAGCCATTTAATGTGTTTCCGAAAAGGGGAAAAAGTTGTTTGGCAATCCAGTAGGGGTGTTTTAGTGGTTGCTTATATAGAATTTTGGAAATTTTGAAATTTTGAAAAAATGCCAAGAGGGTTTGGGGGACGAACTAAGGGACCTGAGTATGGAAGTTTGTTAGTTTGATTATGTGGTCTGGTTTTGGTAGTTTTTTGGGGTTTTAAATGCGATTTATTAGTCCTGTTTTGATTAAGTATACGCCTAAGGCTTTGAATTTTTCTATTTTATTTTGTTTGTTAACACTTTTCATTTTTGATTTGGAGATGGGTAGGTTTAAGCTTATTTCTGGGATTTTAAGGGATAGTTTAGCTGCTTTATCGACGTTTTCATTGTCGTATATTCCTACGTGGGCGGGGATCCAAATGAATACTATTTGTTTGCCTGCCTTAGTTAAATCGTTTAAGCTTTTTAGTATCTGATTTATTAGTTCAGGGCGGTTTTTGGTGTTTTTATTTTTGAGGGCTTGTAGTCCACTGAGCGAGTCGGTAAGTATTAGGATTTTTTGTTGTTTTTTAGATTGTTGATTATGAAGGGCTGAGGCCATGCCCATTAGTTCGGCCGTGAATATTGATTGGTTGTTTGGGAGTCGGTAGGATTGTGTGGCTTTAGTTGGTTGTGTGATATGGACTCCGAAACCTGTGTGTTTGGAGATCGGATCTGAGGATCCGTCTGTGTAAATGTGACACCAATTTGGCCAATTTTCATGTATGTATGCTAGTGTGGTGGTTTTGGCTATGTTTGGATCGGTTTGTTTATTTATTGTGCTAGCTAGTGTTATGTCTATTTGGGGTGTTTTAAGTTTTGGGGTGAAGATATTTGATTTTTTACAGTTTTGTTTAAGATTGTTCATTTGGTGTTCATTTAAGTAATTGGTTATTCTTTGGGATATTGGAGTAAGTAGAGGGTGTTTTCGAGCTAGGGCTTTGTTTTTTGGGCTTATATTTTTGTTTATTAGGCTTTGAATTAGGGGGTTGGATTGAGACGCGGCCCAGAAATTTAGGGTTATTTGTTCCCTACGTAGACTTAGTGGCATTTCTCCTGTTAAGGCCTGGAGAGAAGTGTAGGAGGTGCCATGTTGAGTACGTGTTATTAGTTTTAGAGCCTGATATTGGATTGAGTCTAGTTTTTTGCTTAGGGATTGGTTTAGGGTGTCGTATATGGCACATCCGTAGTCTATTTTAGATCTAATTAGTGATTTATAGAGTGAGAGGAGGTTGTCCTTGGAGGCCCCCCAGTTTGAGCCAGTAAGGGATATTAGCGTATTTAGATCTTTGCTACATTTAGTTATTAGATTATTAATGTGAGCGTCCCAGGAGAGATGTTCATCGAAAATTAGTCCTAAGAATTTGGTTTGTTTTAGGAATTGGATTGGTTTGTTGTTTAGCTGGAGTTTTGGGGAGGCGGGTTTCATGTTTTTGTGTTTAAATACTATTACTGTAGTGTTTTCCAAGTTAAGGGAGAAGCCCCATTTGTCAGCCAATTGCTGTATTTTGTTTAGAAATTTTTGAAGTAGGTTTTGGGCCATTTTAATGCTTTTTGTGCGGATCCAGAGGGCTCCATCATCCGCGAATTTAGATGTGTTTATTTTAGGGGATAGGCCCTCGAATAGATCATTTATCATTATATTGAAGAGTGTGGGGCTGAGGATACTGCCCTGGGGAGTGCCATTTTCTAGGGGACATTGGTCCGAAAGCGTTTGGTCTATACCCACGGTTATTTTACGGATATTTGCCATGTTTGTCCTGAATCTTGTCAATCACATTAGTGTCAACAGGGAAAATTCAATAATATATATGATTTCATTGCATTTATCAAAACGGGCAAGATCAAGTATGTTGACCTAGAAACGTCTGGAGCTGTATACGGGCCTATCCCAAAGAGTTTTGAATTTATCAATTTGTGGCGGCGAATGTGGACTGCCTCTGTTAGTTTTCTTTTAGTGAAATCATGGAGGTTGTTGGTGAGGATTTGGACGTTGTCACCAGCTCCAACTCCCTCAACTCCCTGCTAAGAGCCAATGGCAGGAACACAACCAAACCCAAAGAGCCTAAAGCTGTGGTTTACAAAATTGACTGCAACTGTGGACAATCTTACGTAGGTGAAACATCACGCCCAATCAACACCAGAATGAAAGAAAACAAAACTTCCACCATTAAATCCGAAAGCAAATCAGCCATCTTCGACCATATCAGCAACTTTCCCAATCACAACATCAACTGGGACAACGTCCAAATCCTCGCCAACTACCTCCATGATTTCAGAAGCAGTCCACATTCGCCGCCACAAGCCATCAATCAACAGAGATCAAGGCTATTTCATCCCATCCGCCTACTATGAAGTCATCAAGCAATAATCACTTATCCTGTTTATTGGCTTCATGTCCCTATTGGCTTCCACCTACATGTATGTGTTCTCTGTCCATCGTCTTGTGACAGCATTATCCCTTTGTTGTCAACACCTACCAATGTCGTTCCACTCATGTATGCAATTTTTGTTACTGTTAATCCTCTACTGTTAATCCTCCACCCACTATATATATTCTGTACTATGTCCCTCATTTAACCTACCAAATCAAAATCACATAAACAAACAAACACCCACCATACCCAGCTCCCTTAGTTCTCCTCCCCAACCCCATCGGCATCTATTCCAAATCTCAAAATTCCTAAATTATATATAAGCAACCCCTAAACCCCCCTCTTGGGTTGCAGAGACCACTTTCGCCCCTTTCGGAAACACATTAAATGGCCTGGCCGGGCCCGTGTGCGAAATACGCATCAGTCGGAAAGCGCACGTTAAATCTCCAAAGAAAGTAAGTACCCTCATTCATTCCCTCCTCCACCCACCTCGGCATTTATTCCAAATTTAAAAATTTCAAAAAATCAATATAAGCAACCACTAAAAACCCCCCTCTTGGGTTGCACACACCACTTTCACCCTTCTCGGAATACACTAAATGGTCCGGCCAGGCCCGTGTGCGAAATACGCTGCAGTCGGAAAGACCACGTTAAATCTTCTATATCAGTCAGTCAGTCAGACCCTCATTCAGTCTTGCTTGACAATGGTATAAGGATCTATACCGAAACGTCGCTTTTGACAGTAGTAAAAAGTTGTTATCCATAAAATTGTGGCTACCTTGTCATCCGTCAAATTCTAAGTAATGCCTATCAAACAATTTACCCATGCAAGAAGAGATTTATATCGCCAATGTTCTGGGATAGTCAAACATCATTAACACCGAAACTGAAAAGTAAATATCTACTACCGGCTTCATCCAGCTTCTTCATTAAACGATAGCACTGTCTAGGATATCTATTATCATCCATACGCAAGAGTTTACATCAGAATTTGATACATTTAAAATGACCATCTACATACAGTTGGCTTCGTCCACAATCTGCTAAAATAGCACTTCTATAAACATATTTACTTACTCCCAACACATGTTTACAGGGATTAGTACAAAACGATTCAAATACTGGGTCTTGCTGACAACCCCGCCCCTCTGCCCCACACAGGATAACAGTGTTTATTTTAGTGTCAAGCAGTTTAAATAAAATATTTAACGGCATCTGAGAATTTACATTGTAACTTTTCTATATGAAAACAAAACGTTAAAAAAAATTGTTGGTCAGATCCTCCAGTTGTGAGTTCATAGAGGCCAGCGATGTGTTGATGGTTTCAAGTTGTCCCTTTATCGAGGTGTTCGACCTCAATGTATCGTCAAACTTGGAAGACAATGTTGTTATTGCCGCTAATACTGACTCAATATTCACCCCGTGTATAAATATCTTCGGGTTCAGAACAAGTGGGTTGCAGTATGAAGTGTGAACATTTTCAACTTGGTGATTCGTTAAGGACGGCTGATATATTGATTATAACTTCACATCTGTGACACGCTGAGTTTTCTCGCCAGCTGCCAGAGCCAGTAAAGGTTTCACACAGATTTTGATAGTTCACTGCAATATACTGTTCGCGAATAAGTCATAACGTTTTCGCGTCGTGGAAAGCCCTCGTCGAGGATGCGGTTATTGACCTTGAAGAAGTTATTTGCCATTACGGCGTTGATGACCACACTGTGTACTTTGTTCGTATCTTTTAAAGCGTCACATAAGTCCTTTGTGAAGACGTCGACGCAGCAGCTTCACAGCCTGCAAATCTCGCCATTGGACGATTACGAAACATACACTTTGGGAAAGCTGACAAGGCATAACTTTCCTGTGCAGGATTTGATCCGAAACATCAACGTCAGTGTCACTGGAAGCGATGTCCTTGTGTTTTTACGCATACAGAAAACCGGAAGTACTACCTTTGAGAACCATTTGCAGCATAACTTGAATTTGAAAGATTGGTGTCAGCGTAATGCAAGCAAAAACTTATTAAGTCAACCTGATTGTCAGAAGAAATGGAGGTACAATGTTCTCTTCAAATTTAAAGGCAACGAGCTACCATGTCTTACTCACGCAGACTGGACGTACTTTCACGAATGTGTAGATGCTGTAATGAAGAATGATCGTAGGGGACAAATTAACCAAAGGTATGAATCGTTAGTCCATTATGACTTATGTTCATTTAGGTGAAGACACGCCTTGGTCGAGGAATAAATCCAAGATGAAAAGAAATTGCTTTAGAACTTGTTTTCCCATATTGCCACTTTAGAACTTGTTTTTCTACATTGCCAATGCTACGTGTGGTTATACGTTTGCTTACTGTTAGTTGGTTCATTATAGGGGCTATAGCTAGGAGTACCGACATTTTATTAACATATACGCTAAATTGAACACAAAAGAGTAATCTAGATCCAAATTGGAAACACAGCATCTTCAATACAATCTACTCTGAAAGAAATTAACTCTTTATAGTTCATGGAGGTATTTTGTGAAGACCAATAAAAGCCCGTCAACACAAAATCGCGATTTATGTGATTAATAATTATTTTCTACATATCAATACTCTTCACAGAGATGGTAGGTTTGTAGCAACTACATCAAAAGTCAGCATAACGTGGGAGTCAAGTCTTGCAATGTTTAGTTATCCTCCATGTTTCACTATTATCACGGTAAATAACTCAATAATTTTTCAATTTGAATTTTAGACGATTTTCCATTGGACGAGATGACCGCCAAAGTGACATTAATGAGTTATGAACGACACAATTTGACGTTCATACGGCGCTCACGAGACCGTATTCTTTAAATGACATAACCATTGACAAACTACTTCCACATTCCTGGGGTAACGCCCGGGAACACCCCAGCACAAATACATACAGAAGCGTATTTTCTGATTATTTAGATCCTTTAATCTTGAACTCAGCGTTTCAGCACATTGAAAAACCTCAGAGAGTTTGACTGCCTGATCGTTGCGACCCATCCTAGTGAACAAAGCGAAGAAATGTACATCCAAACTATTGGAATAGTTTATATTTATAGGATATTCATGGAATCCTCAAATCGTATTGTGATTCTTAATGTGGTTTGATATCCCTGATTGACCAATTAGAAAAGAATGTATATCTTTTTAGACAGCTTAAGATTTCAAAACGTTGAGGTGAGATGATGGGTTAAATATATTTTCGCATAATTTTTAACGACGTGCATGCACATGTGGTTGCTTGTGTTAGCCTTGATACCGCACTCAAACCCATTATATATAACTGTCGTGTTCTTGTTTTAATCTATAATGCCGAGTGCCAGGCAGTGTAACAAGTAAGATATTAAACGCCGTTTGGCATGACGCGACCTCGGGATCGAAACCTGTACGTTTTGAACAATGTAAATTGTAAGGAAATATCGCAATTTATTTTTGGTGATATCTAAACACATTTATGTATGTTTTGCACCCTATTGCCCTGGGTAATGCTGAGTAAAACATGCAAATAACTGACATTGTTCGTTATCATCTTGTAGTGTGTGTACTGTATTGTTTTGTATTGGTTTCAGACATTTGTACGTTACCATGGTGAGGGATCCCCTTCGAAGGTTCCTCAGCGAATGGAAACAAGTGAGCGAAAGGGCAGCAACATGGATTGCAGAAAGAATTATTTGCAATGGTCATGCTGCCACAAAGGCGGAACTACCTCCATGCTTTAGCAAGAACTGGTTAAACGTCACCCTTGATGGCTTCATGGAGTGTGCATCAAATCTTGGAATAAACAGACAAACACGGATGTTAGCCAACCTGAGCATTGTTGGTTGTTACAACACTTCCGTCTCCGGTTTCACGTTCGACGAAAGACACTACCGTATGCTTGCAAGTGCAAAAGAGAACTTACGAAACATGGCTTATTTTGGTTTGACAGGTTATCAAGAATTATCACAGATCTTATTTGAGAATACCTTCAATTTGAATTTTGTTAAGAAATTCAAGTATTCTTCACCCAGTAAAACATGGAGTGGCAGAGTCAAATTGTCCAATGCGCAACGTGACAAAATACTTCATTTGAACAGGTTTGATGTCATGCTATACCAGTATGCCAAGGACTTGTTTTTCCAAAGGTTACAAATGGTGGCAGAAAGAACAAAGGATTCCTCACTTCGAAAATTCATTCACACGAAAATAGGGCCAAAGCACATTATCAGTGGTTCGAAAAGGGAGCCAACTCTGCTCGCCTAATCAAAAGTTCGCGGTGGGTCCAACCTCGAAACGAAATGTACTTGTTGCAGGGAATATGTACTACGTCAAAAAACCCGTGTTAACAACTACTTCTTTTTATATTTTGAGTGAGTGAGTATTGTTTTACGCCGCTTATAGCAATAATCGAGCAATATCCCGGCGGGGGACACCAGAAATGGTACCCATGTCGGGAATCGAACCCGGGTCTTTGGCGTGACGAGCGAGTGCTTTACCAACAAGGCTACCGGACCGCCCCTTTTATTTTGAAATAAGTTTCGTGTCTTCTTTTTGGATCAGAAAATTCAAATGAGCAGAAACAACAATTCACTTCAACGAACATCGCAAAAGTGGGACTCATTAATATCCATGATATATTCCTTTTATGGAACAAGCTCCCAGAGAAGTTGCAGGCAATCAGTGATAGCCTTGTCTCATGTCCGAGTTCGATTCAGGCCTAGACATACTTTTGGCCCACGACTTTTACGATTAAATTGATGTGTTATTCCGGAAAAAATCCAAGACAATTTGCGCCTTTGCCTCTCGAAATTTAATTTGATATAAGTTACTTTCGTTGTAGAAATCTAACTATTTTTTACAGTTTTGTTTAGGAATGATCAGCTGACGACTTTATTCAAACTGCATCATGTTCACAGACCTTGTTTACCTCCAGTGGAGGTAACGTCAGACTAAAAAAATAACTAAAACATTTAGATCAGCACTATAAATGTTGGTCTGCTTGGTTGGATCACCTATGATGGGAGAAAATTTGGCTCACATTTAAGAAAATGGTTGTCACCACTAAAGATGATGAAGAATACTGTTTACCATGGAGATTAGAAGGTCATTTAATAGTATGACCAACGATCACATACAGCGTGATGAACGCCATGTTTTGCTGATACGAAAACAACGGACAAGGCTCCAGAATGTAATTATCGTGACCTCACTTTCCCTATCATCAACCACTGATAATGCGATAAACAACAAAACAAATTCGTTTTAATTAGTGGAGTACACGATGGGAGGTACAATGATTTCTGTTTTGGTTTTGGTATGGAGAATTTTGGTTTGTTGCGAGGAAATATGGTGGTCAGGCTTTTTGATGATATGTTCTGAAGGGTATTTTATTACCCATTTGATCAACAGAGGCAATATGTTCGCTTATTCTAGTGGTTACGGGGCGTGAAGTCGTTCTATAGTATTTGTTTTCAGAGTTGCATGACATCTCATACACACCTCCCCTGGGATTTGAGATGGTCTTGGTTGGACCTTTTCCGTTTGCGTGTAAGACATTTCTACTTGTCCCGTCGGAGGTGAAAGTCACATGTATGTTGGCTGTTTTTATGAGAAGCCTCTGATCTGGTGACTGGTATGGCCTTGGTTTGGGATGCTGACGAGGATCGGTTGTCACTGTGTGTCGAATTTATCCTTGTCCCGGTCTCGTGAAGACTCTGCACCCTGGCTTTATATCCGACACCGTTTGGCAAAGTCCGGTGATCGTCGTTGTACAGTAGCAGTACATTCTGTGTTCGGGATTTAATGGGCTTATTCATGTGTTGGAAATGTTTTTGTAACCTTTTGATTTTCAAACATTAGGGGAAATTATATGTACATTCAGATATTTCTCATGTATTTATGATCAATTTTGCCTCATCAATAACTTTTCATATCTTGTTGTATATCTCTAAAGATACCTTTGGATAGCTTATGTTCCGCGCTTTATTTTGATTCTTTCTCCCTCAGGATTCGTTTGGCCGTTTGTACGGGTCGGTGTGTTACGGGCTGGTCACGTTAGAAACTCAGGTTTCAGTGGTAAGTGGTAACGGGACACATTTCGATCTAAGTTCTGACCAACTCAGTTAATTGACTCTGGTGTTAATTGGTCAAAGCGATCTTATTTGGCTGTCTACGCATCTGGTCGGTAACTTGGCAAAGTGTAGTTTTAGCTACTCTTATTTTATTACTGTAATATATTTGCTTAGCTAAGCCGCTTGTGTATTTGTTCTGATTTTATTAATCAGTAAGTTTTCTCATCACTGATTGGGTTTATTTGATCCCTTTGAATGTCATGTATTGGTACAAGTAGTTGAATAAAACTGTGAACCTATTACCACGTTTTCTTTATAACTTCATTCTTGTTTAATAACACCCCTGATCATTCGAGCACAGCTAGGTAACGTCGGTGATGGGGATGGTTTGGACTTGGAAATGGGATATTTTTGCTGTGTTTCCTGGGTTTTACGAATGTTTGTCCTCTACCACATGTATGGAATATTCATTGAGTGTAATGAATGTGTGTGTAATTATAAGAAGCTGAGAAGCTAAGAATTCTGTGCTGAGACTGTCAGTAGTGCGGATGGCTATGGCTTGTCGTGTGAGGGTGGCAAATGTGGCTTGCTTGATCTGTGGATGATGGTTGAATATGTTGTAAAAGTACTGGTCCATGTGAGTGGGTTTATGGTAGTGTTGATGCTGTCATGACTGCTGTCCAGTTGTACATCATCGACGGGTTCTAATTTTTGGGTGTTGAAGGTTGATGTGATCTGATAGACCTTCAGGGTCCTGGTATTTGTCTAGGGTGATGAACGTGTTTACTTTTCTGTACCAGAATAAAGGTTGTAAGGGGCAGGATGTTAAGGCAGTATCTTCAAAATGTGTCATAAAATGTATGTTTGTTAGTATTCTGGGAATGGAAAATGTCATTTTCAATGAATCACTCAATGTATTGTAAGTGGGAAATGACATGAAAAATGGTATGTCGGCATACACAATTTTGTAAATTTAACATTAATTGTTACCGAACATCAAAGTGGTTGTTCCGTAAGGTTATGTTCGATCATACACAATTCTTAAACTAGCAAATTATGCAAGTACTGGTAATCGTTGGGCCAAGTTACCCTGGGTCTGTTTGTTCTTGGCATGTCTGCCCTGTATGCCTGAAACGTTGCATTACATAAGTTACGTGCAGCATCACGAGAGCAAACCTACGTACTAGCAATGTGGGGATGGCGGTTTCCCGTCTGTATCATACCCAGGACCCCGACCCAGTCGTATCATACCTGTGTCTGCATGCATACCGTCCATATCATTTATATACCCTTATTGCCTTATAGTTTCGGCTGTCCAAGCGGCACGTGTTTTGCACTTTATTGCAATTTCTACAAATAAAAAAACATGTTGTGCTTGGACGATGTGTTTTTCATTCAATCCGTTTGAACTTGTGTTTTTACATTTCATATTTAAATTGTGAAATTTCTTTTGAACGTCAGTTTATTTTTCTGCCAGTGTAAAGAACGTTGGAACCATTTTAAGAGTGGCTCTTTTATCTCGTGTTTACTCAATTGATATATCACACCTTTGTGCCAAGCACGTTCGAAAGCTTACTTATGTCAGATGATATTGCCTTTTTTTATATAGGGCCTTGCCTATGAGCTCATTAAGATGAGTTAGTTTGTAAATAGTTGCGTCACTGACGGTAAATCCGGATTGCAAACTAGATGTAACAAGATTATCCAAGAAATGTCCGTGCACGTTTTAGGACACAAATAATTTTATTAGGGAACTTCGCGAACAGTTTATTATTTGATTTACAAGAAGCATAGATTTCACGTTGTGATGAATGACGACTGTTGCAAACAACTGACGGTTTTGAAGGAATATGAGAAGCGTGATTCATGAACTTGTCCACCTATAATAGTGGAGATTGCGGAGGTATCTTGGCTTTTAATGAGCATCTACTTGGATTGCTCTGAATTTGATGCATCATCCTGTTAAAGTTTGTTTGTTGTTTATCACCAAAGTTACAGGACAGTCAAGAAGAGACAACTAATTCAGCGAGACTGACCACCCAATCCCGTTAGTCTACTCTTTCGACAAGCATGGATTGCAAGACCATCCGTTAGTAAGTGAGTTAGATTCATAGTCACATCAGCAGTAGTTCAGCCCCGTCGAGATTATGAAAGCTTATCCATAAATAATAAACACATTGATACAAAACAATGCAAAATATAATGGGCTGTACAACAACTAACACTCTCTGCAATAATCAAACTACCAATTTATAAAGCAACTACCTATGTACATCAAAATTTATCAATCAATTCTATTTCATTACAAAATGAGAACAACTTTTATTTAAAAAACGAAACCTTGAAACAGTTATCCCTTGTGGTGAACAAATCTTCAGTCAAGCAAAACATGCTTGATTGTGATTTTCTCATCACAAGGCACACAAAACCGGGGATGCTTACGTTTATGTGGCAGCGTAATTCATTGTTACACAATGTTGTAATTGTACCACATTGTGTTTGTTTAGATTCTGTAGAAATTCATAATATTGTGTTTCGACAAACATTAGTTGTCAGGAATGTAGTATTTGTAATGTAATGCAAGCAGTAGTGTGGAAGTTACCATATTTAGATGAATGTTTGGAGCCAAGCACAACCTGGAATCTTCCGGAACAGGTAGACTCGTTTAGCAATGTATAGAAAACTTCTGAGAGGTAGTTAACGATATAAGGGAACACACCATGCCTCTCGAGTCTCACGTGTCATCTCACATTTCATCAAAGCCAGCGGTTATATGCGGATCATTGTTTTCACCTTGTATATCCAGCATAGGTCTATTTTGAAAGCTTGATCACTGTTGCTGCTTGGTGTATATTATTAAAGATTATTAAAGAAATATTGAGATTGGAAACTGGATAAGCTGACACAAATTGATTCACAGAATGATTGTTCTATCAGTAAAACACGTGATAGATCGTGTGATCTTTTTAAGCAGATTAGACTTGTTCCACCCTTCTCTAAACGTGATGTTGAAAAGTTGACCCTACATCTCGAAAAGGTGGCTAACAGTTTAAAATTGCCTTTGGGTCAGTTACACCAGGCTGCTACTCTGGCTGATGGTTGTTATGCTATTTGGTGTAAAAATACGGTGTACGGGAGAAAAGAGTGAGTATTTTTTTACGCCGCTTTTAGCAGTATTCACGGCGGGGCACACCAGAAGTTGGCTTCACACATTTTACCCATGTCAGGATTTGAATGGGAGAAAGGGAAAGCTTTGAAATTGTATATACTAAATACTGTAAATATGTTTTGAAAATTGCATACAGATCTTCAAATATTGCTGTATTGGGTTAACTAGGAAGAAT